CTAGGGGCTCCTGGCATTACTACCAGGAGCAAGGATGCTACTAGGGTGTCCTGGCATCGATACTTCAATGAATACTAGGAGCAAGGACGCTAAAGAATGAGACCTCTCATGACCTCTCCCACCTTCTCCACACCCGCACCTCCACCGCTGAGTTCACCACAGGAGGGCTCGAGGCCTGGGAAGGACGACTGATGCACCGGCCGGCGCATCCACCGGCCAGCGCCGTTCTCGCCAAGAGATCACACTCAGTGGCTGCGAGGAAACACAATACATTTGATCCATTTGGCGTTTTGAGCACACCCCATTTGTCCCCTCACAAATCATCGAATTCTTTGAGCCCTTTTAAGCTGTTGTTTGCAAAGGTGTGCAGAATACCGTTCCACCAGTGGTCTTTGAAGCTCAACGAAGTGACAGCACAAGCCACCCCTATGGTCGCTAACATCATGACATCTTAACATACACCTGAACATTCATAGTCTATAGGATTCGGTATCTATAAACTTTGCTGGGAAGGGTATGTCAGCAATTGGGGCACCTACCTGGAAGAACACGAGCAATCGTTCCTAGATACCCAAAAAGGGAAGGAGCCCCTTGACTTGATCTCAGTTTAGGAATTCCATAGTCGTCAGCACCCTGATGAGCCCCACTGGTTTTGAAGAATCAAGTATTTCATAGTGCTCTTCCCTCGTGGAAGAAAAGTCCAAGAAGACCCTCAGACTAAATCTCACAACTGCAAGTCTCCAAGACTTGCTCTAAGCAGCCCTTCAACGGTTCTACAATAGACTTGCCTGAATAGGCTCCAACGATAAAGTATCGACTTGGTGTTGGATGAATCCATGGAGGGCCTTGGGGAAGGCTCTTCTGACCAGGTTGGATCATGTTGAATCCATAGCCCTGCGAAAGTACATAATTAGCATTCTTTTCAGCATTGATGCAAGCAGCAACTCCATATTTCAATTTTATCGTGAAAGTATCCTCGCAATCCTCAAGTATCTGTAGATCGAGTGAACTGGCACAAAAAGACTGCTTTGGGCTGGTCAAATTTAAACCTCAGATGAGACATCCAGGCCCCATGTTGGAGTCCGTGATGTTCAGGTGAGACGGATCCCTTATGTACATATCATCAACGTTGCATCCATCCGCGGGAGGTGGTGGATCATGCCTCCGGCGCCTGTTTTGGATGCGCATTTTGATGTGCCATTGGCAATGAGAAGCTCCTTCTGTTGGGGTTCTAGAAAATGTAATGACCCTGTCCGTGGGTGAACGCTTTCATCTCTGTGGGGGGACTGCAAGGCTGGTGAGAACCCAGAAACGTCGCAATTTAGTAGACTCTACACTGTATACCATACAACAGTAAGTGATGATTTGTCCACACAACACTACCCATCTGGCAGATTCCGTTCTCATGCTTTGGCTTCAATATCTTCAAATAGGGGATCCTCCTTACGGCAACGTCCGAAGAACAGCAAACTTTGCCATAAACCCTTCAAATTGCCAAAGATATTGCATTGATAGAATTTGAATCTTAGGGAGACTCCCCAACCAATATGTGTTTAAACATCTTATAAATTCAGGTATCACCAATTCCTGCCACAAATATGGCACAGGTCTCCTCCGCTTGAACCCTCGCCTCGTCCCACTCTAAAAGAGTGTCATTCTGCCAGACGCCAGCCTTCGTGCTTTACATAAAAAGGGGGCGGCACGATTCCAAGGATCAACTATCCTGTCCTGCATCTTCCGTGTTTCTTCGCTTTCGCAACGAAACAGGTCGCTGAACATCAAATCCCTTGCAACCAGCATATAAAGATCCTATTCCTTGATAACCGAACCAACTCGAACATCCTCACGACTGGGGTTGCCACTCGGCTCTCACCCTGGACGTTGCAGTAGATACCGTGACCTGGGTTGGAGAAAGATCGAGAGGTCGAGCATCCTCTGAGAGGAGCAGCATGTAAAGCCAGCAACGGTGGATGATGATGGTTAGTAAGGGCTGTTACAGGTAATAGGACAAACCCAACATACATTTTGCAGCACTGATCTCTGCCTTAGATACTTTACATTTTGCGGCACTTCCATGTTTCATCTCAAAAATTCCCAAACACTCTATGGCGGCATCATGGCGGCAGAAAAAAATAAAAACATCACCAAAAACCACCCGTCACTTTTGGCCATATTTGCAGTCCCATGGATTTACCAGTGCTCAGTGCTCTGCCATGCCGCTGGCCCTCTCTCCACTCGCCGTCGTAGAAGCGGCCTGGCCGTCCGTCGCGTTGCGCTGAGACGTTCAGCAACAAGCAGAACATGTGGATTTCGTTCATTTCCCGTCATGCCACCACTGACAAAAAAAACACACCGGCAAACAAACATGGGGCATCAAAAGCCGCAAAGACCAGTTGATGGGCAAGGAGGAAAGCAAGGAGAAGGAAACATGCAGGGTTTGCCATCGGCCCAAGTAAACTTGCCCTTGCCGTGCTTTTTATCATCCTGGACCCATCACAGCGCTGTGCAAAATCAGCAAATGATGACGTCGTGGCACTGATGGCTGTGATGGCTGTCCTTGTACTGACCCTCATAGACCAGCATGCCCCTCGCAGTACGCCAGACCTGGATGTCAAGTGTTTTTGTTCATTCCTCTTCTTGTCAAAGTAATATCAAACGCAAATGCGAGCTACCCAGTAGTAGTAGTAGTAGTAGTAGTAGTAGTAGTAGTAGTAGTAGTAGTAGTAGTAGTAGTAATAGTAGTAGTAGTAGTAGTGGTAGTGGTGGTGGTGGTAACTTGGAAGTAAGTGGTACTTGCCCTTCTTTAACTTGTCTAAGTACTGCTGCTGTACACAGAATTTCGGCAAAAAACCGCCAGGAGCACCATCCTGCCCTGTCCGCCAAACTTGCCATGCTTGAAATGTCCTTGACAGCTGCAAACCGAGAAACTAGTGGGAGAACATTTGAAAATACAAGCTTCATTGATTCAATACAGATAATACAGTCTCAGCACAAGAAAACATTCACGCACCTTGGCACAAGGCTCAAGAACACTGAGCCACATGTACAGAGTCTTAGGCCAACTATAACGCAAGGCAGAGAAAACAAAGCGCACAACAGAGCTTGCAGCAGTCTCGGATCTTTACATGGCAGCCAAACAATCGCCACAAACACACACAGAAAAAATGTAAAGAAAAACGATCAGAAGGCTTCAACATCTCCAGAAAGGGCATTGGCAACTCTACATCGTTTCACCATCAAGGCCTACACAGCAGATATGGAGCTGACAAATCGGTGGGAAAAGCAACATAAGGAGATCACAAAGCAGGCATGAGAAGAGTCGAGCAGAGCCGCAACAAGAGAACCCCTGGAGAGAAGAGAGTGAGAAGTGAGAAGAGAAGCGCAACAGGAGAAGCAAAAGCAGGAGAAGCAAAGAGCGAAAAAACACAACAAAGGCACAAACACCGGGAAAGAAAAGATCTACGATTTTACAAATAGGTGCTGTGCGGTGTGCCTTCCCCGGTGCAACAAATGGCCTAGAAGCAGCAGCTTTCAGAGCGCACCCAACCAAAGCAAAGCTCGCATGCTTGAGCAGGACAGGCCTAAACCATTACCACATACTATATATAGCACCATACGACCAAGTGCAAGCTGGTACCAGGTAACAACCCACAACGCGATCCCGTAGCACATGATGAAACCCTTCAGAACCAGAGGTAAAGGCAGGAGTAGTGCCTATGGACATTGGATCATTCATGATATTTCAAAGGCAAAGGCAAGTACAAGCAAGACATGATTTTGCAGAAACGGATGCGCAGGAATTGGACAATTCAACAGAGGATTTGGCAGTGGCAATGGAAAGCAATAGTACAAAGGATGGCAATAACGATTAGGCAGTTAAAGCATATTAAAGCTGTGGACATACAAGCAACCAAGGAAGCGGCGCAGGCAAGAGCAAAAACAAACCAGCAACACATATTCTACAAGTCCAGCAACCCTGGACGCTTCGCACGAGATGGCTCAACATTCAGCAACAGTACTCGGTACACTTTGCACAGTACATGATCAGTGGCATTTGCGGCAATTGGGCAAAAACAAATAACACATCACGCGCTGATAACAACCCAGCAACCCTACACGGCCACTGACCAATGACAGTACCGGACGAAATGTGGATACAGGTGGGGCACACTCTGAAAATGATGGTTTTCGGGGAGTGTACACGTATGGGCATCACCAATGCTCACCATTCAGCATTGTCAACAGCAAGCTATGAACGGACTCCTCAGGCAACAGCGGCGATTACAGTAATTATCTCCACACAGTGCATAAGGTGACAGCTAAATGTAATTGGTATCGACAAACAGCCAGTTTCAGCAAGTTACAGGACTACAGTGAGAGTAACAGCATTTGCAGGCAAACATTCACTGTGAGGGAGAAACTCTTTGGCCGCTGCTGGCTCTGGAAAAAACAACAATTGGTGTCAATGCATCTTCATTTATGGCACTCGGTTTCTTGGTCATTTTCACGTGCCTCCATAGTTCAACATTGACCAAGAAACTTTGGTGCCTGTAGGTGCCCCGTAGGATAACAACGTCAAGAGGCAAAGGCCTGACAACAAGCGGCATTTCATGCGTCTGAATAATACCTGGCGACTTCAACAACTGGCAGCAATGATGTACCAACATTCATGCTCCAAACAGTCAACAGGTGATCGAGCACCAAGGCTGTGAGCAAACAAGCTACAGGGGGACAACAAACAGGTGTGCGTCAACTTTCCAACTTTTAATAAGATGTGTGGCAAGATTATCAACAGGGAGACTGTGAAGGCAACTGAGATAAAACGAATGCAACAAAATCGCATCAACAAAAGGACGTTCAGCACTGTCTCAGCATGAAAGAGATTCTCAGCCTCATGTACTTGGAGCAGCCAGGCTTTACAGAAGAGAGAAGAACCGAAGAACAAACAGAGACACCTCCAGCCAGGCAGCCAAACAGGTAGGACAGTGTACGTGTGGCAGTGGAGACTCTTTGGTGGAGCGGGTAAAAAGCATGCAATTCCTATGCCCTAGGGATCCAAGTACTCCTCAGAAGGTATTTGAACCCTCCTGGCACCCAGCCCAAACACCGAACCTCAAAAGCAGCTTTCCCCTCTTTCCCGAGCGGCGCCAGCGGCGACCCTCCGTTGCGTCCTTCGTAGACACGTCCATCGTTCCACATTTGACGCCCGTGGCCGTGCTGCAGATCGGCCTGTCCGCAGCGCCAACCGCCGCTCAAACGCTGCGGACAGGCCGGAGACCAACCGGAGACCAACCGGAGACCGGAACAAATGAAAAAACCCTGGTTGAGAGCTGAAAGGACCAGATGAAACCCCTATGATCCTCTAATTCTGTCGGTTCCGATTGGGCCATGTGGGTGCAATTCACGAGCCACAGCCACACCGACTAGCGCTAGCTGCAGCATCCAACCTTCCACTGCCCCTCATAGGAATCTTGGCTGTTCTCCCATATACCGTGTCCTCAGATACAAGTCGGGTCGTTTCATCAAGCTTGTGGACGCTTGAGTTAAGACAAGACATGTCAGGATGTCAGTCTTTTCATCAACATTCATCAACTTGCGTCATCTAAGGCAGTCACCATGACGTCGTCCATCCTTGACACTACCAGTGTATGTTGATCCATCCTGACTGCCATTCGCTTGCGCACGATTCAAAATCGCTTGCCAGGCGCCAGCGGCTAGGGTTTTTGTCACACAATGTCACAAATGACCTGGCCTGGTAAGTGATAAACTGACTCGCCAGCGACTCCTGTGTCGACAAGCATGATGGATTTATGATGGTCGATGCAAAAACATGCAAAAACTATATATCTCTTTTTTGGCCGATCACGCCGACAAAAGCGGAGCAACTCTGATACACCAGAGTAGACATTTGACATACACATGGTATAAAGATTGACGGACCTTCAATTGCAGTTTGAAACGGCACATCAGCGAACATCTTGCCAGCAATCTTTGTCCTAGTCTTTGTCCTAGTCACTAGTCTGCCTAGCAGGACCAAGATGCTGCTCAAGACGCTGTGAAACATCGCTCGTTCCGTGCGTCTTGCCACGTCGACAACGCTGAAACAAAGGCGTGACGCATGCTGCACGTCGCCTGCATGCGCGGGTCGAAGAGAAGTCGTTGGCTTCGCCGGCGGGCGCTGATCTCATTGCTGTCGGTATCCCACACGGATGTCTCAAATTGCTCGTCTTCTTGATCCTACGACAGGTGGGGACTGTTTGGGGCTGAGAGAGGTCTTTTTGGGGGATGAAAGATTGGAAGTTTCGGGTAGATTTCAGATAGATGGATATTTCTTGCGCATACGACCAGCAGGAATAAGGACTCTCTGTAAACACTGCATGAATGCTTCGCGCTGCTTTGTGCATTCCATGTGAGCTTGGAATTCCCGAGATTCAATCCATCCACAAGCCAACAATCTGCCGCCCTCCCCTCACTCACCAAGATGACGGGTCCTTTCATCTGATCACCATCTTGGAGTTTGGGTGTATAGCTCGGTGCCACTGCAGTGGCTTCAAGTGTCATATCCTTTCCTTGAGGTAATCGAGGTAGTTATATATCTGTAGTGAGGATGAAACACCAAAATCCGACAAATCACATATATCCGACTGAAGGTACCGTATTGTATCTCCGACCAATACCGGAGAAATGGACATGGACATCTCCAGGCACAGCTGCAGGACGAAAACGACCTTTCACGGCCCATCCGATGCGTTAGAAGACCGACCGGTCGGTCAACCGGTGGATCAACCGGTCGGTCCTGTGTCGTCGTCTTGCTCCAAGCTTCTTCACCATGTTCCTTCCGTTGGCGTCGCAAGGCCGAAGCTGTCCCGACCACGTGCGCGACCGGCCTCGCCGACCCTGTGCGAGCCTGATTCTTCGAGTAGGTAGCAGGTAAGAAACATGACAGATCTGAGGGCAATTCAGCAGGTAATCCTCCCCAGCTGGGACCGGACGGGGCTTCTTTTGCATTTATATACTCGGGTTATATTGAAGTCCAACTTCCCCTGTTTCGTGCAGCCTTCCAAGACATGTCTACTCAAGTTCAATGCCCTAATTATAATTGCTATGGAAATGCAGATGTGGACATCTGCATCTACTGCTCGGTTCGTTTCTCTGTCTTCTGCTCGCCACGAAGCTCGCTCGGTCTGAAGACGTGCGCGTCACCATCTCCGTCTCCCGTCCTCCGCCACATCATGGCTCTCACCGTGCTCGGCGCTCATTTCGGACTGGGTCAGATCAGGGCCACCATGCTCCTCTGTCGGAAGCTGGACACTACTCTGTGACCGGCATCAGCTATAAACAGCATGAAGCTTTGAACTAGGAAGACAGCTACACATGTTACAATACACCACCACAACACCTCTGCAGCCACGCTCTTGCTCAGAATGTCCAGAAGCTGCAAACAAGAATTCAGTCGGTCCACTCCCCTAAGGTGCAGCATGTTGCCACACAGCTACTACTGGCCGGTTTTCTTCCTGAACCCCCGTCCTGGACCGCTGGAGAACACTCGGTCTCTCCTCGCTTTTTGATGATGTTGCTTGCAGCCTTGGGGCTTACCTCACCAAAAGCCAACTTTTGCTTGAACTCCTGGTTGTTGAACTTGAGGGTAGCAAGAAATTGAAGCCATCCTCCTTCTACGAGCTTGTCTACGACGATAGCCATGAGCTGTGCTCTGGTGATACCTTGGTAGATCCGGGCCCGAGTCAAAAGAGTATCAGCCCTAGCATGAATTTCCTCATCCAGGCCAACGCAAATCACAATCATCATCTCTTGTCCGCGTGCTTCTTCAATCGTATCCAAAACCAGGACTTCATCCTCTGTGGGTCTTCCGTTGTTCGACTGTAAGTAGCGCAAGGATTCCTCAAAGGATTTCAGCTGAAGTCTCGAATGGGCCGTGAAGGTCGAATGGAGTTCCTCTTGAAGCATCGGCTTGAACTTCTCACGGAACTCCTCATGTGGCACAATGATGGCGATCCGCCGGTGCCAGCTTCTCAAGCAGGGGTACGTGCGGAGAACATGACACATCGCTCGGATGGTGGACCGACTGTATTGCGCAAGCAGCCGACCGTCCTCCGACCGATCAGCCGCCTCAAACATGAAGGTTTTGAGGGGTGGGCCGTTGGTTCCGCAGCAGCTGGTGGTCACACCTTCATCGTGTTCCACTTCGAATGCTAGCGCAGCTGCAACGATGCGCTTGGTGCTCCTCACCACTTCTTGAAGGCTCATGGTGTGTTGGGTCTTGGGGAAAGAAGGATGCAAAGCAGCAGATTGAGAGATGTCGGACAGTAGCAGCTTCTGACCAGCGCGCACATCTTTGTAAATCATGCTCATCCTATCTGATGTGAAGAGCTCATGTGCCTCGTCAAAGATGGCCAGTGCAAAGTCTGGAGCGGCATCAAGTCTATTCTCGATCAAACAATTTCCTTGTAGAACTAACTTGACATACTCCTCGTATGGTCTGTGCATCAGCACGATCCTGGCAAGCAAATCCTCAATCTTCATCTCAAGCCCACCTTGGGCTTCCAACGATTCATGTCTTGCAATCAACCACTGAACAAAATGCAGTCCCAAGCAAGGTCGAGGAGCAACGTAGAGGATCGGCTCTTGAGATTCGTCTTCATACACTTTGTCCAGCGCGAATTGCACCGCGACAAAAGTCTTACCTGCGCCTGCGGGAGCCGATAGATGCACCTCTTTACTCTCCAACCTGTGCAGTTGGGCCAGCTTGGCTTTTTGATGCGAGGTCAATTCTGAAAGGGTCAGCAGGCTCTTCTCGTAGTGCTTAAAGAATTCGGTCTTGTCCACTTGCACTTGGAATTGGCCACCGTGCACATTTGACAGAGACCAATTGAGCCACGCTTCAGAGTCACCGGCCAGGACCTGGTCTCGAAGTACATGGATGGCCTGGAACATGGAGGATGACCAAGAACACCATGAAACATACACATGCAGGCTCCATATTGGTGAAGACATCTATAGTGGCTCAGTATTGACTCATATTGACTCTAGACTCTAGACACATGTGCAGTACGTCTTGAAGTTCATGAACTTCAGAGATCAACAGGGATGCAGGGGGAATTGTTTTTCCATGTTCGCACCTCTCCCACAAATCTGCCGCCGTGCCAATGAACTATGTCATCAATTGCGCTGAAACTTGATTATTACTCCACACTGCAAGCCATAAGGATTGACACCTTAGTGGGTCTGCGGGTGCAAGTAGCTACGCGTTGTATAAAATGCTTGTAACATGGTTCCATTGCACAAGTGCATCGCTAGGTGCATCACGTCCTTTCCTGGAAACACCATTCATTTGATTGATCAACTCTAGAAACGTGATGCTCAACCATGGACTTTCCACGGACGAATTGATGGACGGACGACGGACTCCGCCAGTCCGCTGAAAAATCTTCGCCCAGCGAATCCATGGAAAAACACCAGCTCACAAGACGCAGCCCAGTGCAACACAAGCAGTATGTATATCAGTATGCACAGAATAATATATATATAATATATTGTCTCCCAAATCGTGCCGTGTCAAATGATTCTATACCCTCCTTGAAACAATCATGAAAGTGGATGGCACCACCTGTTTATAGAGGAACATGGTCGTCTTCGGGGCCACGCCATCAATTTCCATGATGAATTTGAGTGTAGATAGCTTTGACCCATGTTCCTTCATGTCCATTCGCACCCTTTCCTTTGTGCATCCCTGCCTTGACATGTGGCACATGAACGTCCACTGCCAGAGCAGCATCTCCGTTGAGCAGCCTCGTTTCAGAGACCAACACAACGCGCACATTCCCAGGCAAGGCTTGCTTCAGAATGCCCTGCAAGAATCGCTGCTCTGCCACACTGGTCACTAGTTTGTGGATCGGATCTGTGGTGTGACGCACATGTGCAGACTTAAATCTCTGCTGCTCTTCATGGCACTGGACCATCCATGTGAGCTCGTCGTTTTCGCTCATGTCAGGAACTTGCACCAACCACCCTCTGCGCCACTGGCATCTCTCGTGGTCAAAGGCATCAACGTCTTTTCCAAGCTGAAACTCACTCTGCAAGAACCGAGCCACATCGATTTCTTCATAATCCCATGCTGGATCCTTCTGCCTCATCTTGTCCAGGTAGGCCACTTCAGCTTTTTGAGACCCACCCAGACCATGTCCGTCCCACAGATCGGCAGTGGGCAGTTGTTCCCACTCCACCTTGCCCTCGCCTCTCTGCCCTGCAAAGTACACCACCTGCAGTTTCTGCTTCTTCTCGGTGGCGTAGGTACCATTGCCCATCCAAACTTTAAACCATAAACAACCCCAAGGTGCTCTTCTCTGATTCTCCTCGTACTTCTGCTCAGCTTCTTGTTCAGCCTTCTTCCGTTCTTCTGGACTAGCATCTTCTCCAACAACAACTATACCCATTGCTGCTGCTTTCTCCTGCTCCTTCAGCATCTTTTCCTTCGTGTAAGGGCACCTTAGAACCTTGAGGTAGCCAAACTCCTTCCAACCTCGCTCTCCATAGATGGCTTTGCAGTAGCAAGTGCCCTCTTCTGCATCAGGGTCTTGCGCATGTTTTCCAAGGCCATCTTCCGGGGTGCACAGAAAAACGCAGCCAACGCTGCCGTCATGATGCTCTTTGATGAGTGCGTCCCATCCGGATGGATACTTCCCAGGAAACGAGATGACGCATCGTGTTGCGCCTTCTCGAATGTGTCCATGGTATGCAATATCAGCTGTATCAGCCGTCACTGCAGGCTGATCCTTGAGCGTGATGTAAAGTGTGACGTGAGCACCGTGCCGATGAACCTCTTCCACCTGGCCAGGGGTCTCGGTAGGGCTCGGCAGGTATGTTTGAATTGCGTCTCCAACAAACATGGCAGTGGACGACCCATCATTTTATAGGGAACACTCATATATTTCCAGCGGCCATGCCATCCACTTCCATAGCCATGCCGTCCATGTCCATGATTGGAGGGAGAGTCAGTGAGACAAAGTGAAGGGCCCTTAATTGCCTCGTCTACGCGATGTCTACCTACTGTCCCTCTACTCGCCTCTACTCGCCTCTCATTGCCTCTACTCCTCCCATGCTATTAGGTTGGAGGCCATTGCTAGTAGGGGGAGGCCATTGCTGTTAGGTTGGAGGCCATTGCCTCTAGGTTCTTCTTATGTTTACCTCGTTTCGCCTCCTCGTTTCACGGCGCCTCGTGGCTTTCCTCAGCCTCGCCGACGTGTTTCAACAACGGCGCTGCTACGAGTTGAAAAGCCACAAACAAAGCCGCCGTATTCAGGCGTCGTGTTTCTATTTTTTGTCATGGCCGGACGTGGAACATGGCAAACAATCCTTGACACCATTACAACACGATTCTTATAGCCTTATATACCCATTAACACCGAATCTGAATTATATACAGTATCCTTATCCTTCATGCATCTCATGCCAGTAGACTATTTTTGCACATTGCAGCCAGAACACGCATTGTGCTGTGTTCACATGCTTTCGCCAAACTATTCCAATGTGTGTCAAGAGAGGAGTATTAAGAAATCAAGCTTTCAAGCTTCCTACTACTTTTGGCTTCAGCGCAAATTTAGCACAAGAACCAATGCAAAGGGAACACCTGCGCATCCCTACTGTACATCCTGTTTATTGAATCTTCTCATTTAGGTGATGGTTGAAATGTCAAGGACTCAACACTTGGTGAATTGAGGTGAAACTTGCGCGAGCACTTGAAGTTTGCGCGATCGGGATTCTCCAAGCTCCACTTCAGAGCACAAGCTTTAGCGAAATTATCAAGCTTTCTTCTTGTCCATCCAAAACACAACAGCAGCCAAAGGACACCCTTGCTTTGTCACAAGCAAGATACACCCTATCGTACAGCATCATAGAACATCATAGAACTGGAACATGCCTTAGCAGAAATAATGTTTCTCTAGAAAGCATCGTGTCATGCCATTGTTCGGCCTCCGTATGTGTCTGAGGGAGGCTTGATCACTGGAAAGTCCGTACAATTCTGGAAACTGGAACAAGCGCCAAATATACGTCGGGAGCCAAACTCAGGAATTGACGTCGCATGGCCTGCATTTTAGCTTCCAACAGTCTCTCATGTTCGGCCTCCACAAGAAGGCAGCTGTGCGATTGTGGCGTCAAATCTACTCAGCAAGAAGCACAGGGAGCAACGTTGCATGATGGACTGGAATCAAACAAGTCCCTTGCAGCAAAATGGTAGCCAATGAGGAGACTCTACCCTCGGTGGACTAGGAACTACTTCAATCAAAGAAGGGAACATCACTTGGCTTGGCACGAGCTCAAACTGACAACATAGCAACTTCTCAAACAGCTTGTGGCATGTTGATGTTCAAGAGTGCAATGACAACATGGAGTACACACCGCATGGGCAGCAATTGAACTGCTTGCAAACATCATCTGCTAAAGAAGGTGCTAGCAGCAGCTGGCCTGTGCTTCCCGCAGTGCTTTCTTCAGCCTCCCATTCTCTGCCTCCAAGGGCCAAATTAACCTACACCGCACTTGTTCAACACAAATTACATCCAAATTGCCATACAACTGGCCATTACTTGGTGGTCCGACTAAACAAAATATGAAAGGGACACCAAATGACGCTACCACGTCCAGCTTTTTCTGGCTCCAACCAATGACTTCCGCTAGGCCTGAAGGCTCTCGTCCACCAAAGCTTCATCCTCGCCCTGCGGAGCACTGGTCGCCCAACCGCCGCCGTTCGCCGTGCCGTCCTGGGAGATGCCCAACGGACCGGTCCGCATGACGGACCAGTGTCACCATGACTTCAACCACGCATATGTTGGGGGCAGTTGCATCCTTGACAAAATGACTGAGGTAAGGAATCAACAGAGGCCAAGCAGGTTGTATCCAGGTAAGGAATCAACTAAGGCTTTTCACAATGCATGTTGTTCTTCACGAAGAGTCACGAGGTGTGTTGTTTACTTCTGCATCAAGCACGCAGGTGGAATAGCCTTCGACAGACTTCGTCGATGTTCGACAAGTACTAGATGGCCGTAGATAGCAGTTGACTCAGTCATTTTGTACGGCAAGCATGCCATTCCATTCCATTCTATAGCCCGCAATGCAGGACCGGCTACAACAGTTCATACCGTTCATACCACCCGCCTTCCCGGCTACAATGCAAAGGATCGACTGCTTGGCTGATCACAAAAGAACCAAACTGCAAGTAGGATGTTTCAGAAATGACAAACCTCATCTTGTGGTAGCTTTCAGTGGCCAACATTATACCTCTCAGCCTTGTATCGTCAATGGTGGGGTCATCGGTCCTCTAAGTCTTGCTCTCCCAAGGGCCGCTGCACACAGATCGTGAGGACCTCCGGTGCTGCTCGAACTTCCGGTGCTCATCGTCCGGTGGTGCCGCGCGAGAGGGAACTGCGTTGGCAAATGGCAGGAGAAGACAGTTGGATTTGGACACCAACTTAAATGAATGACATTTGGTTAATGACATTCCGAAAACCAAATTGGCCATTCACAACTTCTTAATGACATTATTTGTTACTGACATTATTTTACGAAAACCTGATTTAAAAAGGCAATCCATTACTGAATTCAGGTATCAGCTTGGCTCTGGCTTGGCCAGCAGAGTTGTCTGCACTCCCCCGACTTTCCCAGCCACCTTTTCCACCGGCATGCCTTGGCTGAGTATCACAAACACAGTTCATGCAGAAAAAGCTTTACAGTGTCTTGTCCCCAGTGAAAAGGGTGTATTGTGGAATCATGAATTACCAACCACCAGCTAGCACCCTTATAGTCCGCCAAGTGAGTGGAACTCATTATGAACTCAAGCCGTTTCCTTGCCAAATCCAACTACAACAGCAAACTGACAACCAACGCCCCCAGGTCGGCCTGGTCTCTCTGGCACTCCATCGTAATCTGTTCCACATCCCGAAGGCCGTTCACTTCCACGATCCAATCTCCCAGCCTCACCGCCTGCGAACGCCGAACAACCCCAACCGTGAAAACCCGTTCCGTCACGGTGAGGGGAGCGGGCGCCAAGCCGGTGGGTCCAGGATCCGGGCGTGAGGGTGGTGAGGGTGGCCAGGGTGGACCTTCTTGAAGCGAGAAGAAATCAGAAACATCACACACCTTGAAAGCAGGTGTGGGTGAAAGCAAGCGAAACATGATACACCATGCACGATAGATAATGATACGCCTTCACGGGAAGGGTTCCTGCATGAATCTACTTGTTCCTCCCTTCAAAGATCTACACAAAATCCGGAATCATGCAGTCCCTGACTGGCTTTCCATCAGCTTCGCAGGAAGAACTAAGGGTGTCCCACAAGAGTGTCCCTGCAAGAGTGTCCGACAGGTATATCTTGAGATTGTCACATCTACTTATCTTGGTATTAGCACCCTTGTGATCATGAGATGATCTCATGACCATGATCATGATCATGATCATGATCATCATCATCATCATCATCATCGGGACACACTGTCGTCTATTTTTTTTGTTGGTGTATGCTTGAGATTGTCTGAGGTCCAACATCGTACTATGTCCACCCCAGGCAAGCCGTGGTTTTCGAGGCGTTGATCAGCGGGATAAAGCTAAACACAGTGATGCCGCTTCCAGAGAAGTTCATGCTGTTGGAAAGAGCCAGTACCTGCTAGTGCATTTCTCATCGGTGCTCCCACATTGAATTGAAAAACAAGTCTTGCCAATTGAACACCCAATAAGTTTCTATGTTCGTTCCTGATCTCTCTTGCGTTTCGAACACTTGTTTGAACCTAGAAACAAATAGAACATGCACTCTCGATGCTCGGCAGCGTGCCCCGCCCCAGACCCGAACCGACACGCGCGCGCGTGCCTTATCCGGGTGCTTCAAGTTCCACTTCTGGACCAATCCGTCCTTGATGTCCTTCACTCGAAAAGGTCGGTGGTCCTGACGTGGGCTGACGATCGGGCGATCGTGCGATCTGTCTGCAGACTTGTGCTGCTGGCTACAATTTGCAGTATGTGTTTACAGTATGTTTTTTCTCAAACCGGAAAGTAAAGTAGGAGTTTGATTATGTGTTGAACATGTCTCCTTCGCCTGCCGGTGTTGGCCTTTCAAGGTCTTACAAGCACAAAGCATCCATGGTGTATAAATGTGTAAATTATACCATCACATTACAGACCGAATGGGACTGACAATTCACCTATGGCTGGCGCCTTTTCAGTCGGACAGGGTCTTGCGTTTGTCAACAAAAACATGTCAACACTCGAGTCAGCCGATGGTGAATCTGGTCAAGAAAGACATTCTTAAACCCCAAAAAACTGTTTGCCCCCTCGGGATTGCGAGATATTGCGAGAACATTTTTAAGTGCCAGTTGTGACAGCCGCGTCCCACTCCTCTTTCTTGAGAACAATGCCTAATCGCTCTCCGCTCGCCTTGTCCTCGGTCAAAGGTCCCTTCCATCGTCCAAAATGACTCTGTGAGAAAGATGTGGGTGACCCCATGACAGGATTTTGATGGTCACAGAAACAAACAATGATTCGGAATGATTGGTCAACATGTTATATGGACCCCTCAATGATTCATGTCAATAGCATGGCGTTTTCCCATAAGGGTTTTAATGACTTTCCGGGCAGCCCATGTAAACCTGCAACATCGAGTAGCTGCCCAGGCCCTGAAAGCTTCACCATCATGCAACAAGAAAACCTGCGGGGCAATCCACAATTTCTGTGACATATGTGTCAATGTTTCAAACGGTTTAAATGCATGCCTTATCCGGCAGTAATCTTTGTTTCATATGTATCAAGTTTAATTGTCATTGTTTCTCTTTCCTTCAGCACCGGTTAAGAAGTACGACGTGTCATCGATGGCCTGACTAAAACACTGCAGAAGTACTTGACACTTCCAACATGATGCCACCTGAAAAGATCGAAGACATGCAAACAATCTGTTGTCAACATATATCTCCTAAGCAGCTGTTGGCACAATCGCAGATCTCGGTTGATTCAAAGGACCCAACGAACTCGGTGGGGAGCTGTCTTATGGGAGTTGTCATTCTCCGGCCCCAACGAACTCGATGGGGCACGAGGACACTGCTAATGATCTTCCTTCTGGGGCTTCCACGACCTCGATCATGAACAGGACCTGCCAACTGCCAACGCAAAGAATTGCTGATAGATAAATTGACATGTTGACCTGGGTTAGTTGATTCATGCAACAAGCAGGATCTCAATGCCCCAAATGCGTCTATGGCATATGGTATACACATGCAAGATCATGCAAGGATATCCCCCTATCTTAGACACTCATGGAAGCGGACCATGTCCTCTCAAGACCATGTTCCTTTAGAGTGTCGTGTTCACTGGTCACCCAATACTAAGCCTCAATATCTATCTCTAAAACATGCTTGATCTTTAAACAAACAACAAGGTAAAACACCCAGTACCTTCCTTCTGCATCTCGTTGTCCTTCTATGTGTTTCTCTGTTTGCACCTTTTTCCACTATGTAACACAACCCAGGTCTACCTTCCAGACCAAAGAGTTGGAGCAAGTGCGATGCAAAGTACGAGGTGTACGTCGGGCAGCACCAACAAGTTGACATGCTATGGCCTGCTTGTGATCTTCCTGTAGTTGCTTCTTGAGTCTTTCATTGTTTGCCTCCACAGCAGCTGTGTGAATGTGCTTTCGATCAAGTGCACAAGGAGCGAGCAACACTGCATAAGTGCAAGCACGAAGAACGTCCGACACAAAAATGCGAGGAGACTCTGTACCCGTATCGTTTATATACCCGAATGTACCCGTGGTAGCCACATGAAACAATGCATACAAGTTAGGCTTGGCACCAGCTTGAACTGTCAAACAACTTTGGATGCAACTTCACAAACGGTGTGCGTGGCAACTTTGTTCCCACTAATTGCTCAACCCAACAAATGATAGAACTCATAATCACCACAGTGTACAATGAACAGAAATCTATTCATGCGCTATCCACTGTGCTGCAAGCAGTGGCAATCCTGTGTTTCTTGCAGTTCCCTCTTCAGCATCTCATTGTCTGCCTCCAACAAAGGGTTCAGTGGAAACAAGAGAGTTGGTCAATGACAAGTTGTTTTCCAACTGCTCAACATGTTATTTTGGTTGGTACAAGCAGCTGCTTACGTTTTACGAATTCATGAACTCGTTGTAGCATGTAGCAACAACTGGCAAAAACTTGTAAGAAGTGGAATACGACGACAGAAACGACCTACAGTTCTTATTTCTTGCACACTTAACATCACTTAGCCATTCTGAGCAACGATCATGAGAATTCCTGCTGGCCTGCAAGCTATCATCCAGCGAAGTCACTACCTCGCCGTTTTCAGCAGCACTCGGGGTCGCCATATCGAGAGGTTCCTGGTCAGAAGCCAAGTCGCGCGGAAGAAAACGACGGACGGAGCGACCCACATGACAGCAACAACCCTGAAACTACTTAAAACGGTTGTGTGGCTTCCACATGATTTCCATATGTTTCAGCCTTTGCACCACTGAGCCAACATCTCTGTGCTGAAACAAAAAACGGCACCTGACGAGGGAAAAAGATGTCTAAGAAGTCCTTCAAACCTTAGTCAAGGCTCTGCAGTGATGTATGAAGCGCCTGCCTCTGTGCCTCTGGACCCTCTAAAGGATGTACAGCAGGGGCTCAGCTCGAAGGCAGATTCAATGTCACATTGTTTTAAGATGGCCAAGCTAAGCAACCTCCAACCGCTCATGAACTGCAACCTAGTTTTCCACAAAAAACGACTCTCCAGAAAAGATCTATGGGAGATGACTGGAAGAGTTTTCTCTCACCCTTTCTTTGGGGCGATTTTTTGGTGCCTACCTTGAGAGGAGACTTTGCGACTCGGACCGATGAACACCGGTGAGCTACCCAGCTTATTTGGTATCCAAGATCTTCCTCGAGAACGATTGCTTCTCATCTGCATTTGAAAGCCAAGCAACTGATCTGTGAGCGCTCTGCACCAAAGTCCTGCAGCCCGCTGATCGGCTGGAAGATCTGCTGACATTTGACAAGACTACTGTAAACCAAATGGCTACTAGGGTGTTTGTTGTCTAAAACTCGGCTTTGCTGCCATTTGTTGCTAGAGTATGGCTACTACATGCTCATGGTCTATTCTTTCACTGGTCTGAGTCTGAGTTGTCTTCATCAAGGGGAAGGAAACGGCATGTTTGCCTCGTGGCGTTCAGGCGAAACCGCTGCATGCCGGTGAAGGGGCATGGTTTCGAAGGCACAGTTTGTGTGTCAAAAGGCTGAGTTTGCCGTGAGCTCTGTTGTGTGTCATAAACCTACTGTTTTTGGGGCACCTGATCCAAGGAAGGTTGGGTTTGTTTGCCACAATGCATAATGATGGGGAATCCAAGGAGAGATCTGCTGCACAGTGACAGCTTCAGGAGACTATGTCTCACATTGTTGGCAAAGAATGTCGCTCAAAACCAGAACTATCCACAACTTCGAGCATGTAATACTGTAAGAACTACATACTGCCTAGAGTTACAAAACAATCTCCCAAGAAATGATTCAGGCTTCACAGAATGTCCTAAGGGCCCCTAATAGCCAATATCCTCGCAAAGCTGACACGACAAGCGATGCGAACCTGGCGAGACGGTCAACGAGTCTATTTATGATGTCTCCTTGACAATGGCATTGGCCTCCGGCAAGGTCAAGCTGACGGCCTGAAGGATCGTGATGCAACCTCAGGTCGTCCGCATCGTCGTCAGGTCCAGGTGTCAGACGACGAAATGAAAGGCAAGGCAAACATGGAGCTCACTTCTCACTCTAGCATGACCCATCTATACCAATCTTTCTTGCTGCACATGATCCCAGAATGAATTCTGCCTTCCTCAAAGTTTCAGATTGACACCAAGATGCCCTTTCTTGTGCTGACTATAGTTATTTTTATATGTTTTCTGTGTATATATTTCTGCTGTGCATGTGCTATATGTGTATGACTCTCGTATACACCTTCTACTCATTCTCGGCAATCGCTTGGTTCTCCTCGCTTGATTCTCTCTTCAGGGCCGAGAGGCTGTCCCGATCCAACTGACGTTCTCCACCCAGCCAGGACTGCAAGACGTTCTCCACCTGACTTCGTGCCTTGGCTCAACGTGACGTGCCTTGCCTCATCCTTGCGTCATTAAGCGGATCTCGCGGATGTGTGAAAACAACCGAACACAATTATACCAACGGGCGGCTTTTAAAATTAGGGACATCACTCTGACAAACTCTGAATCTCTTGTTGCAGATTCACACACGGCGTGCGCTCTTGCAACCCAACAGATTCATGGATCATCTAGAAGTACTCCTTACTTCTGAAGGAAAGGCCCAGTCAAGAAGAACAACATGGTTGTTTGCTGTTGCTGATATATGTTCCTACACACAGAAACGTGATGAACAGCTAATAATCAGAGTGTCCATCAGTCGCTTTGACAGCCTTGACATACTCTGCATAGCATGTATTTCCTCGCCCTCGCTTGTGGTAAATACTAAATGCATCCAAACCACGTCCATCCTTTCAATGGATTGCAAACAAACCTGAACAGGGGTGTGCAAGTCATGCAAAGAATTGTGCAACGGGCGTTCATGTGAAACAATGATCAAGGCATGTACAAACTGCTCTTACCTGTTCAGTAACAGTGACAAAGAACAACTATTAGTCAACAATGTCCAGTGGAGGCTCTCTGCTTCAATAAGTGTAATAATTCAATGTTATGTGAAGGTGACTCATCCGTGTAAAAAAGAAAGCTGTGTATACAACCTCCAGTCCTCTAGACACCAGTTTACGATGTCAAGAGCCAAGAGCTGCATATTCTCCCGGGAGAAGCCTTGTCTTAGCAGAACATGTCGCCCAGCAGGCTAGGCTCAGCCGGATGACTAAAGAGATATCAGTCTTGTTAGAGCAGATTGAGAGTAGATGGCACAATCAGGGCCCCCAAATTAGATGGTTTATTTGGATCCTCCATCTTTTCAAAACATCTTGGGGTACCAGTGCCATCTACTCTGAAAGCACTGTCTGTCAATATTGACATATATTGAAGGGATACCAGTCATGTGTGTGTATTTGTTTGGGAATCTTGTGTTGGACCTTTGGAAGACCCATTTGGAAAAGAAAACATCATTGAATGATCAGCCGCTCAGCCAGTTGGCGTGCTTAGCCCAAAGAAGCGCCAGCAACTTTGGCCGGCTTGAGCTGAGATGCAATCAGTATCTGCCTTTTTTTCCAGGAAACACTGAAATCTTCACACAAAACACATTTGAAGTAGTGAATGATCTAGCAGCCTGTGTTTGAGAAGATGAAGGTCCCCCACTTCAGCTTCCAGCTGCCGCCAGCGCCAGCATCAAGGCGACGCCACCCTCAGCCTCGCGCCCAGCGGCATTGTTTACAGCTCCGATGATGTTCACTCCGGGAACTGCGGCGATTTCGGTCCTGAACGCGATCTCGCCTGGAATATCCATCCCACCTGAGTGGCTGAACAAACACGACACAAAAACCCACCAAGTTGCACCTTTGAGGTCGACCGAGCGAAACATTTTTCTTGTGTCGAGCCTGTTCGGTCTGAGACCTTTGCTAAGGAAAAAGGCCGGTCCCCTAGCAGGAAATCATTGAAATTGTTCTCTGCAATTTGGGGATCACTAATTATATCATGTACTGTATGTACATCTATATGTGTCCTAATGCTCTTGCTCGTATAGCTCTTGTTCATCAATTCTCAGGAAGGCCTCCACAGGGCCCTGGAGTTTCGGATCACTATTGGCACCGGCTATCTTGTTGGTCGACTCTCTGCGTACCTCTGCGTACCGTACTCTTTTTCTCCATATTCAGGCTTGCTAAAGAGTTGGACGGAATCAACTATATATGCATCATAAAACAACGTTGATATCACAGTCCAAATAAGGTCAGTGATACCTCTGACCTTGCTTTTGGAGGCCTCCCTGCTGTCTTCCCTGTCTATGTTTTCTGCCTACGTTTCTTGAATGTATTCATGAGTGTTGTTCAATACATTTCAACAACCTGTACATCCGTAGTGAGCACCCCATTAGCTTCCAAATGGATGTTCAACACCAAGCCAAGGCCCCGTCCAGGTGCAGAATTTCACTCAAAGTGTTACACGGGGGTCGCTTCAAACGCCAAACATTTTTTGACTTTAGGTCACTGCCTTCGGAAATTCCAAGATTGCCGGAATTTGTTTTTGTTGGGACCATGCAGTAGAACATAATCCATTGATTTCGATGTTATACCTCCCAAGCCACTCGATTTGTACCACAACACTGCAAGCCTTCACGCCTCTCACGGCACAAAAAATGAGTAGACTGTGAAACCAAGTTTGTCCAGCGCTTGGCGCTCCCAACGACATCCCTCGCCCAGTGGCTTCTGGGTAACGGTATAAGGGCGGTGAACTGGTGCCACCCTAGAAAACCTGCTGCCATCAGAGATTTGGATGAATCATGAATCCCTCGCCCAAGCCAGCAGGTCGGCCGTTTCGGAAGTACTCCCTTGGATGAACGAGTGAGAAATGAACAACGACCCAAAGGCAATCAAATAAAGCTGACGGCACAGCACAAATTATAACCCCTAGGACTGCGACAGAAAAATCAAACGAATGCTCACGGAGCAAAACAACGAAATGGTTTTGGTCCGGGAGGAAAGAACTCGAAACAAATTCGTTCAAGACTCCTTGTCGATCCATATTTTTCGGCCGCGCTGTCACTGAGCTCTGAGGAGCCGCGCCGTATTTATCAACCCATTCCTCAGCGATCGCAAAGTCAACACAAGTGCTCATGCAAACCAAACCAATAAATGTGTTGGGAAGAACACATGGAAAGGCCACAAACCCGAATGCAAAACTGCGATTGTTTTGTGCCTAGAGCAATCTGATGCTCTGTGAAACTTGAGTCCTGTTCATGCCCAGCATGACCTCATGACAGAAACTGCGATGCTTTGCACTGTGCTGCAGCGTCTTGGTGTCTCTGGCATCTCACAGAGTTTGGCATATAGAGTGCCTCCAAACCAATTGTGATTGCAAGGGTACCTCGCCAAAACCTCTAACAACTGTGTCTCACAACAGTGTTTAAGAGCATTTCATAAGAACGGGGAGGGACATACCTTTTACCCAGCCAGAAATGATTTGTAAAAATACATGTAAAGGCACTCGCATGCAAGAAGCTCAACAAAATCAAGGCCCCCTTCTGCATTTGCAGGCAATTGACGTATCGACATCAACAACGCACCCAAGCACGCATTGTATACTTGATTGCATTGTCAGGCAGTAATTAGTTGCTTGTTCATCGCTGATCACCAATTTGCAGTGAATCACGCCGGGGAGACACAAATCAATTGGCGACTGCAACGGATTCGAGACCTACAGGCAGCTGCACCAAAGGTTCTACACACCAGTTGGTAAAAGAAGCATTGGCTACTTGACATGAGCACGACTACTCAACCCCAAGTTTTTGATGAACAACGATTTGAGGAGACCTTTCTGATTTCTACAGGGAACTTGATGTTGATGTCTCCCGCTACGAACGAGACCACGTTTCAGCACTGCCAGATTCTGTCAAGGTTGTCATTTTACTGACTGAGAATACAACATCTACCTCGGGCAGGACAAATCACACACTACAGCGAGATCAGAAACATCAGTGTCGAGCACCACAAAGCAAACACAAACTCATAGATAGCAAAAGCACTACGGATGCCACGAGCAAGCAGTAGCATTATACACAATCAATGGACAATGGACCACAACCAATCTTGGCACCAAATATCGACAGGTGTGGATGTTTTGGCCGACAGGCTTTGCATTGAACCTGTAAGAGTGCTGTTTGACTATTGCGGCAGTTCCCATCCTAGAGGTTACAAAAGAGGTGCTATGATTCGTAGCCTGCCAAGGCTGGTTGGTCAAAACTCCCAAGGACCTTTAATAAACAAAATAGAAAGTAACTACACTAAACTATAAATATTGTCGGATCCGAATTAGTCAAGTGGGTGGGAGGGAATAATATAAAGTTTTCGCCAAATTATTCCAACACCCTGAATAGTTTAGTGGGAGGGAACAATAGCAAGTTTTTTTCACCCTGGGTGATTTTGGGTTGTTTTGTTTACCTTTCTATTGTTCTGCTATTGCTCCCCCTTTAAAATCCTTACTTAACTCTCCTGAGGATTGCTTGATTCATGGAATTCTGACTTGGAAATCGGTTTCAAACACGCTTACTAAAACTCAGCAATTTAGTTGCTCCAAACAATTTGTCAAGGGGGTAGTACACCAACCCAAGGGGAAGTGAATAATATCAATTGCTTAGAGGGTGGGATTAATGAGCACACTTGGAGCCCTAAGGAAAAATTACCTTTATTATTGTTCTGCCATTGCTGCCCTTTCAAATCCTTCCTTAACTCTGGAAAGGTTTGCTTGATTCATGGAATTTTGTTTCAATAACGCTTATTAAAACTAAACGATTTCATTGCTCCAAACAATTTTTCAGAGGGGTAGTACACAAGCACATGGGGAAGTGAATAGTATCAATTGTTTAGAGGGTGGGATTAAGCAAACTTGGAGCTCTAAGGGAAAAGCAACTTCTTTACTATTGTTCTGCTATTGCTGCCCTTTCATCTTCTTCTACTACTACTACTACGACAACTAGTACTACTAGCACTACTACTGCTAGTAGTACCATTATGATGTACTACTACTACTACTACTACTACTACTACTACTACTACTACTACTA